ATATATATATACATATAGATATATATAAATGCTTAAAGATTATACTTCATATAAAGTAATATTACGTCAGGATGGAGGATGAACATTTCATAATCATGCAAAACAACAGATAATACAATTATTGTTTAGGGTAATGAAAGAAAGCATTAGGCTGGTTTACCTATTCATATTATTCAAATTAATAAAACAAATTAGTGTTATTTAGCATGTATTTAGAAAAAAGGGAAGAAATTTTTAAATTGAGCCTTATAAAGAATCAGACTTCTATACAACAAAGCATCATGCAGCCAGCCAGCAAACCAACATTGGCAACAAAAAGAAGAGCTTTTATTGTAAACAGCTGGGAGGGATGTTGCTTTTGTTTAATCACTATTATGTTTCCAATGTATTTTTAAAAATCAATACCTAAAGTCAACAAATTTTAGTCTCACTTCTAACAATAAAATTTTAATACAGAAAATTCAGCTAAAGCTAGAAATTAATTAAGGAGTCCTAGTGGTGGTTAAGCTACCACTGTGGTTTAAACTACCCAGCTACTCCACTAAAGAAAAGACCTGGCAATTTGCTCCCATAATTTTTACAGCCAAGGAAAGCCTATAGGGCACTCCTGTTCTGTCATATTGGCTTGCAATCAGTCAGAATCAACTCAATTGTGGTACACAACAGAAAGTAAATAATAAGTAAAATATTCTTACTGACAAAAAGAAATGATAAAATTATTACACTAGTTAGCACTTGATATCATAGTACTGAGCAACATTCTAAAATTGGACATTTGTCTGAAATACAACAACAGCAACTAAAACTTTTTAAGGATAGTAAGATTTTACACTTACAAGTAATGTATAACAAAACATAACCCATGTACTTTAAGCCATCTATGCCATTTTCAGATACCACCTTGAAAAACTAGCAATTTCCCAATAGCTATTTAAGAATTAACCAAACATTGTTTTGAAGGCAGAATATAACAAATGCTGATGAGAAAGTGGAGAGATTGGGACTCTTTTACTCTGCTAGTGGGACTGTCAAATAATACAGCCACTGTGGAAACCAGTATGATGACTCCTTAAAAAGTTGCAATTAGAAATACCATTTGATCCAGACATTCCATTACTAGGTATATATCCTAAAGAAGTGAGAGGCAGGACAAGAACACATATATGCACACCTATGTTCATCAGAGCACTATTTACAATAGCCAAAAGATGGAAACAACCTAGATGCCCATCAACGAAAGAATGGATAACCAAACTATGGTACATACACACAACGGAATACTATGCAACCCTAAAGAATAACACAGAATCTGCAAAACATCGCATACCATGGATAAATTTGGAGGACGTTGTGCTAAATGAAATAAGTCAGTCACAGAAGGACAAATATTTTATCAGTGCATTTTGTAAAAAGTCAAGGAAAGGTTTATATATGGAAGGAAATTTTCTTTGTTGGTTACCAGGGGTGGGAGGGGAAGAGAAGAAACATTGCTAGATAAGTAGAGACAAGTATTGATTTAAGTGAAGGGAAGGGCAATGTACCAAATATGAGTGATCAACATGGTGGCACTGAGGAAGAGGAAAACATAGAGAGGTACATGGGGGGGACAGACAACAAAGATGAACCCTTTTGTACATACAGTACTGCGTTGTCAGTGATGGCAAACATTGATCTATGGGTGGAAAGATGGATAGACAAGCTCAACAATTAGGTATGTCTATGCAGGGGGGAGTGTGCCCATTACCATGTATAGGGTTGGCAGACAATGTTTCTACAGTGTATTTGTATGTTCTGTAAGAATTGCCAGGTATATAGTAGAGCTGACAATGGACGAGGTTGTAGTCACTTTTTGGCCACAGACAGCTACCCAGAGGGAGTGAATGGTTGGACCTGTGGACTCGGGACCATAGTCACAGGGGACATCAAACTCAATTGACATAATATACTACACAAAACATTGTTCCACCTCCTATTTTGGTGAGTAATGACTGGGATCTTAAAAGCTTCCAAGTAGCCATCCAGATACAACAATGGGACTCTCCTCGTCCAGAGCAAAAAACGAAGAAAACCAAAGATGCATGGAAACAATTAGTTCAAAGGACTGGTACACCATGCGAACCTCGCCCTGTATGACTATGAGACCAGAAGAACTAGACAGTGTCCAGCTACCACTGTCAACCACTCGGAGGGGGATCTGTGTAGGATATCCTGGATAGAGTGGGAGAACAATGTGAAACAAAACTCAAAATCATAAAAAAAAAAAAAAAAAAGGCACCAGGTTTGCTGGTCTGAAAGAGCCTAGTGGAACCCCTGAGACTACAGTCCCTAGCTGCCCTTCAGGTCTGGAGTTGAACCCACTCCTATGACTTCCAACCAAATAAAAGACACACACATGAGCTAAACATTTACATTAGGTAGATGCACTCCTTGGAGAGACCAATCATGGGAGAATAGAAGGGTTGTGTATGCACAGGGAGACAGCAGGACTGCATGCGAGGGAAGGACACAGGGAAGAGGTAACTAAGAGGAGGAAGTGGGAGGGGAGCTGTTGGACTGTGGGAGATTGCGGTCAATGTCAGGAGACAAAGTGAACTGCTGTACGGAAAATAAATTTGCTCTGTAAACTTTCACCCAAATCACAATAAAACTTGAAAAAAAAAGTTATCCAAACACTGTTTCAATTAGATAGTAGACTCACTCAAACCAAATTCACTGCTATCAAGTCGATCCCGACTCACAGTGACCCCTCCTTGGGTTTTTGAGGCAGTATCTCAACGGAAGTAGATTGCCCAGTCTTCCTTCCAAGGAGTGGCTGGTGGGTTTGAACCACCAGACTTCTGGTTAGCAGTCAAAATGCCTTAGGCACTACGCCACCAGAGCTCCCAGATAGTAGACGGTTGTTATTGTTGTTGTTATGTGCTAGCCACCTATAAAGCTAATTTCAACAGTGGGTAAGATATTCTCAATTAGACAACAGAGTTAAGAAGAGAAGGATAGCTGAGATTTACTGTGTATTCCCAGAACTACTCATTGCTGTGTGACCTCTCAATAATCACTTTATCAGCTTACGAGTCTCCTTCTTCACCTGGTTAACTTTTACTGGGGAAAAAAAAAAAAAAGTTTTTAGTCTCCAAAAAAGAAAATCATCAGTAATTATTTATATCAAAAGTAATGATATGCCTATTGCATAAAATGAGATACTCTTAACATACAGTTCAAGAAAACAGGAGGAAAAGACTTAAGTTCGGATATAAACTTCCTAGATGGGTCCTCCTGGCTCTCTCCCCTATCCACTCCAGCAAGGCTGTATCCTACTCCTACGCATCCACAGCACTTCACACATAGTTTTACCACTGTTCTATTCTCTCGAGTCTGAGCTCTCCACAGCAACACAGACATTCAAAATATACATTTACAATTATCAACTCTAATTTTGAGATATTCTCTTCATTTAGTCTTTATTTAATTTCACTTGACTCAATCTTCCATTTCTTTCAAGCAAGTTAGTTGAAATGACCAGTTTAAGATTTGATTCAATCACGGGTTTCCACTAAACACATACACATAGATTGATAGAAACTTTATGTACATTTCTCAACCTTATCTCATTGTGAAATTCTACTAATTTACCTTTCTGAAAGGTAGTACTTTTAAAGAAAGGTAAGAGCTTAATATAGCAAAACTAGAGGAAAAATGTCTGGATTTACTTGTCATTTAAAAATATGTTGTTGTTACTTGCCATCGAGTCAGACCTGACTCAGAGCGACCCCTCCTTGGGTTTCCAAGGCAGTATCACTACAGAAGTAGATTGCTAACCAGAAGGTTGGCAGTTCAAACTCACCAGCCACTCCTTGGGAGGAAGGTTGGGCAATCCACTTCCATAGTAATACTGCCTCAGAAACCCAAAGAGGGGTTGCTATGAGTCAGATCCAACTGACTCAACAGCAATGAGTTCGGTTTTTTGGTATTCATTAATGTAAAGAATCCTTGCATGCAATGGTTAAGCTACTAACCCAAAAACTGATTAAACTCACCCAGTGGCTCCACGGAAAAAAAGTCCTGGTGATCTGCTCCCATAGATTACACCTAGGAAAGTGTATGGGGCAATTCTACTCTGTCATATAGGGTTTGCTGTGAGTCAAACTGACTTGATGGCACACAACAACAATATTCATTAATGTTATATAATCTTTAGTAAATTAACATCTACATAACACTCCTTCAAATACTGAATGACAATCCTTCCCAACTCTTCCGAATATTACTGAATATACGTGGTAGTTATGTCAACCTTGGGCTTGTCAGTCTCAGCAGCTATCAGCTGTCTGAGTGAAGAAAAGCCTCTAGCTCCAGTGGGCCGGGAGCAAGAGGGAGAGCTGGACCCCAAGGTTGAGGGCTTTTCACCCAGCCCCTAGAGCCTAGCACTTTGAACTTGGACTTAAAGCCTCCAAACTGTAAGAGAATAAACTCCTCTTTGTTAAGGCCATCCCATTTGTGGTATATTCTTGTCAGAGCTGCACTAGGTAACCAGAAGAGTATATAACTTTTATAAATATGCAAGGCATAAAGAGATCATAATTAGAGAACTTATCCTCCAGTAGCTTAAAAATAATAATTTTAAAAAACCACACTTAACAATGAAAAGAAGTATGTAGCTAAGCAGCAAAATAAGCAAAACAGAAAATAAATAATGAGGGCAATAGATATTAAAAGGCATTCCTGGATGTTGCAAATGGCTAATACGCTCGCTCAGTTGCTTAGCAAAAGATCAATGGTTTAAGTTCACCCAGAAGTACCTCCAAAGAAAGGCCTGGTAATTTCCTTCCAAAAATGAGCCACTCAAGGTTATGGTCATTACTTGGTCACAGCCAGCTACCCAGAGGGACCAAGTA